CCTTCAGAAGTCCACCGGTGTGGTATAGTGGATGTCAGTCCCGCAAGCAGAAGCTTTGTGGTTCGATACCTGTCATGCCGTGCCATACCTCCTCTATCTAGCTCTCATATTGAACCCTTTCTGTATCACCTCTATTGTATTTTCTTTCAATTATTGCACAACCGAGTTGCATACAGTTTTGACACCTATTTTCATTTCACTTTGAACAGTGTTTCAGTCACAGTACAGCATAATTAACTAATCATTTAGGAAACCTGTATTTCTGCACCTGCTGCACCCCAGTCTTCGAAAAAGTTCACTCCAGATGACAATCGACATAATTTTGTTGGACACTATCATGTGCTAAAACCTTCCACATCCCGACAACTCAAGCACCTAAAAGCTCCAAGAGTCAAAATCCCTCACTGATTGGTGCATTAAAACTTCATTAAAGGTAAAGACAAATGAAAACAGTTCCGATAGTTTTCACAAACGTACAAGTTTTCTCCGATTTTCGAGCATTCAAATTACCATGTGTAAATAGAATTCAACAATGATTCCGTGGATATTGAATCGTCACTGTTTGAAGTCAACCGAAGCTTTTCTTTGAAAACCCACATGTCCATTGATTTAACTGATTTAGGGCTGATGACATTAAAGTGTATGGATATCAATGTCGGTTTAAGCGGTATCTCATTTCCGCGGGACATGGAGCTAGATAGATTTTTATTGGTTTAACTTTTTTCAAAAGAAGCACACATCAAGACAGACTTCATTACGAAGAATTACCCATAAAACATTCTTTGGAAACTTACTTAGTTTTTTTTATACTTTCACATGCTTCAAGGTGAAAAAGTTGTGAAAATAAAATATAAAAAAAATTCTCAAAAACATTTTTTTGGGTGAAATAAAATTTAACAAACTTGTGACATAAATGATGGGAGGAATTATTCAATGTGATGCCAAAAGATACGAGTGATTACACAACGATCAAGGTGATAAATTTCATTTGGAATTATGCAGTAGCCATAGTTCCGATAGCCACAATGCAAGATCTAGGCAACAGTGAAGTCCATGAACATGGCATGGATTAAAGATGGGGTGGCAATATCATACGTATCGCCTCCCGACAAGGATGTAATAACTGATGCCCTCTTGTCCCAAACTGTTTCTCATTTTCATTGAGAATTGCCAATTTCCACATCAAAGATTTGAACTGCATTCTCCTGCAACCAAGCGAATGATTTGATACCCCTTCTAATCAGAGTTATTTCAGAAACCGTGCCACAAGGCAATTTTAATATTCCTTTTCCCATCAAACGAGCAATTCATCTTTGCATTGTGCGACACTGCCATGTCTTCCTTCTTTCCATTACCTTGTGAAATCGGATGCCAAACACAATTTTTTGGTCTCAGCCGAGCTAGTGCACTGAATACCCAATAATGAGCCTGCCAGGAGGGGCGACCACAAAGGCTCGAGGCTTCCAAAAGAATCCCATTCCCTCATGCAGCATGGCCTTTCACTAGTTGTTTTCATTATCAGACAAATGTTTACAAATTTCATGTTGTGTTTTTACTGTCTTCCTTCCATTGAACAAAACATGTACAAAATAGTTTCTGCAGGGCTTTTAAAAGGAAATTTTCAATTTTTCAATTTGTTCGTTTCTCAAAGAGAACTACTGAAAATGACGAGTCCCTCTGCCACCGCTACCAGCACGCTTCAGTCTCATAGTCAACAGCAATTATTACCGATAACTTGGAATCAATTCTTTCATAATTGCCAGATGAACGAAGCACAACCCTATTTCAGATAGGCACAAATGGGGAAATTGGACAGAGGATTCTGTGAAAACAAATTGTGATAAATTAGCTGCTTCTTAAACATTTTGTTTTTTAAACTTAATCCAAATTATGATTGATGCATATGTTTATCTTCCTTAAAGAGCCATCACAGTTTGGTATTGGTATGACACAGCTACCTATCGGGATACTTAAATCGAGGTGTTCTGCCACAAATTTCTAAATCGCCCATGTTGTCTGGCAGGAGTGAGTGAGTGTGGTTTTACACCACTTTGAGCAATATTCCAGCAATGTCATGGCGGAGACACCAGAAATGGGCTTCACACATTGTACCCATGTGGGGAATTGAACCCGGGTCTTCTGCATGTTAAGTAGAAGCTTTAACTATTAGGCTATCCCACCACCCTCTGGCAGTAAAAGCTTCCCTGAGGAGTGGTGATGTGCTCAGGTTATGCAAACATTTGTAACTGATAATGTTTGAATGAACACAGAATTTAGGTATGAATTTCTGCAATGTTACAGGCATGTCATGTAGTGTATCATGAGGTAAACAATTCAGATGGTTCGATATACTAGTGAGTCTTCACATCCCTATTTGGTATTTAGTTGATATATTTTGCTATATTTGTACCAATGTATTTTTATACTGAACTAAACATATCAACAGGTTCTCAGCAGGTCTCACTAACAATTAGACCAATGAAGATCCAGGTTAGAATCGGTCTCCAGCAACCCATGCTTCATGTCACATAGAGTCTTTGAAAGGCATTTATATATAATGCACATATCAATGATGAAGGAGTAAGAATATACTCTGAAACAGTGTGTCATTCAAAATAAGGAAGTTGACATCCATAAGTTCTCGCCTTTAACCCATACTTGTCATAAGAGAAGACTAACAGGATCGGGTGTTCACGCTCGCTGACTTGGTTGATTCAGTTGGGTAGATCGATGCTCATGATGCTGATCACTGGATTGTCTGGTCCAGACTCAATTAGTTACAGACCGCCACCATATTGCTCGAGTGAGTGAGTGAGTATTGTTTTATGCCGCTTGTAGCAATATTCCAGCAATATCACGGCGGGGGACACCAGAAATGGGCTTCACACATTGTACCCATGTGGGGATTCGAACCCGGGTCTTCGGCGTGACGAGCGAACGCTTTAACCACTAGGCTACCCCACCGCCCCCAATATTGCTCGAATATTGCTGAGTGTGGTGTTAAACAACAACTGGTATCTATCAAGCATTTTTTGAAACCTCAACTCTCTTTAACAGTTACATAACTTCAGTCAAAACCTACTAATATTAATATATACTAGGCACATAAAGAAACTGTGCATACAAAAATTTAAAATCTAAATTTATCAAACCTGTGTAGACACATAAGGATTTAAACTCAGAGATTAGTGACATGTATCCAACATGCATGCACGTGCCACGTTCCGTGACGTCAGTGGGTTCGTCCTTGAGATGTGCAATACGTTGTTGCACGTGCATTCCGGGAAAGAGAAACAGAGCAAATGAATGCCACACAATACTGTCACTTTGGAAAGCTCAACCCCTGCCCTTGCGATCGTTCAAAAAAATTAAACGGCTATTGAAGCGCATAGCATGCCAAGGCTCACGCGTCTGCACAACGTCATGAGGCCATTGGGATGGTCTGTGGGGAATGTCTCAACGACAAGTGGCTGCACATTTCCACTGCGCGACGAACACCATTTCTGCACTTTCGTGAGACGCTACCAGAACACAAATGACGCCATCGATCGGCCACGTTCTGGACGTCCCACGTGTAACAATGCCAAGACAGGACAGATGGATAAGGGTGACCCATCTTCGCCACAGGTTTCAGACTGCAGTGATGACTGCCCGAACCATCTCAGGACTTCGCCATATCCACCCTAACACAGTTCGACAACGCTTACGTCATCACGGGATCAGACCACGGCGTCCCCGCCATACGGCCTATCCTGACACAATGTCATCGACAAGCTCGCCGAATGTGGTGCTGAAATCATGTCCGCAGACCCTTGTTTTGGTGGAGAAATGTTGTTTTTACAGATGAGTCCAGGTTTAACATTTCCCATAGTGATGGACGTCAACGTGCCTATAGACGCGTGGGAGAACGTTATGCACAGGCCTGTGTCTTGGAGAGGAATCGCTTTGGTGGTGGTTCCGTGATGATTTGGGGTGGAATAACAGCACGCCAAAGAAATCCTTTGGTGATTGTTCAGGGCAACTTAACTGGTGTGGGCTACAGGGATCAGATTCTTCGACCTGTGGCAATTCCTTTCCTGCAACGTCATGGCCCTGGGTTAACATTCCAACAGGACAATGCCCGCCCTCATACGGCAAGGGTTGCTATGGATTTCTTGCAACACCACAACGTTGACTTACTGCCTTGGCCTCTATCTCTCCCCGATAGAGCATGTTTGGGACGAGATGGATCGACGTCTACGCCGTCTTCCTCATCCGCCAGATAACGTCCTTGACCTTGCAACAGAACTTGAGAGAATCTGGCGTGACATCCCGCAAGCCTTCCTTGCACGTTTGATAGGCTCTATGCGTCGTCGATGCACTGCTGTTCTCAATGCCGATGGTGGACATACCCATTATTGAGCTTGTGACATGGTCGTTTGACCCCTGTCCCGCTTGTGGACTCGTGACGTCATTGTGATTGACTTTTCAATTGAAATTCTCCCGACTTGTTATGGTCTCATGATCCCTCCATTAAAGTTTATATGTACCTTTGACATTGTTATCGTACTTATCAACTGGGATAATATTTTGACAATGCACAGTTTCTTTATGTGGTTAGTATATTAGCATTTGGAACCTTAAATCTCTGTAACACTTAAATAACTCAGTTTAGTTAAAACCTACTGATATCTATAGTTTTATTTGAAACCTCACACCTTTGCTGGTAGTTTGATACCCAAGCCAGGTAGCAATACCATCTTGTTTGTAATGAACAAATAATTATTCATGACTAGACCATATTCATTAACCTGTTCATGATTTGAAAGAAAGCAGTTATTAGTAACAATGCTTAAATACTTGAAAAAACATCTTCATTTGGTGAACAATTCATCAATCAAATTTTGAATATAATCACTCAAATTAATAATCTGATATTCACTCTTTAATGAACTTGTTCAGCAAAAGTAAATGATTTTATAAATGGGGTACATAATTATGTCACTACTACTACATCATACCTACGAAAAGCCTTGCGTCTCCTACACAAGAAACATTTAAAAACAATTCTGTAAAACCATTTCTACATTTAGAAAAAATCTCATTCCATGCAATCAAGCAAGGAGGCATTTGCTTTGAAACAATGTAATTGTGACATTACATGACATGGAAAAGATCAAGCATTCTGTTCAAATATGCATCAAAATGCACAGAACTATTAAACATTCATATAAAAGACATCACAATATCTGATGCTGCAATGTTAATCTCAACTATTTCACAATGAACATTAAGAAGGGCATACCATCAACAAAGGCAAACACTGACAGAAATGGACTTTCTTGCAATACAATACTGTATTAATGCTTCAAATATATCCTGTGCCCTAGAATAGCTGTATCATTGTGCTGGCAATACGTTTTACAGCTACTACCCCAAATGTTATCAAAGATACTTTTAAACAATGTTTTTTTCTCATCTTCAAGACATCCACCCTACAAATCTGGCATTAACATCATACTATTTATTGTATGAATTTCTGAGTTTCCCAACATCAAATGTTTCTGCCTTCTTTGATATGACATTAGCCAAGACTCGGGTGTGCCCTCCTGTTATTTCTGACATTACAACAACTAGAATGAAAAGTACCTGTGCATTGTATCCATGACGCCCAAAAGTTGTTTCCTAGCAACAACCAGTTTGTCAGAAAAATGCGGCTCAGTCTTGAGGTAGACCTGAATTTCACCAGCAACCTTCAATACAAATGAAGAAACATGAACAAGCTGGGCTTAAGGTTAGTTTGAATAGTACTTCAGCTATATCGTGACATGATCTCACCACCAGCCTTCCATACCAAAACAAGCATGAATGACTGGGTTTTATCCTCAGTCTGGACCGTAGGTTAGTTTCATCATGACATGATCTCACCACCAGCCTTCCATACCAAAACAAGCATGAATGACTGGGTTTTATCCTCAGTCTGGACCGTAGGTTAGTTTCATCATGACATGATCTCACCACCACCCTTCCATACCAAAACAAGCATGAATGATTGGGTTTTATCCTCAGTCTGGACCGTAGGTTAGTTTCATCATGACATGATCTCACCACCAGCCTTCCATACCAAAACAAGCATGAATGACTGGGTTTTAACCTCAGTCTGGACCATCGGTTAGTTTCATCATGACATGATCTCACCACCAGCCTTCCATACCAAAACAAGCATGAATGACTGGGTTTTAACCACAGTCTGGACCGTAGGTTAGTTTCATCATGACATGATCTCACCACCAGCCTTCCATACCAAAACAAGCATGAATGACTGGGTTTTAACCTCAGTCTGGACCGTGGTGGTGGTGGAATTAGGTTTAACGTCGTGCTTGAGAATATTTCGCTCATATGACGACGTGCATGCCTGTGTATGTGTATGTGCGGCTGCTTGTACTAGCCCAGACTGAAGCTGGTTTCATAGTGCTAGCCCACTGAGATACCATGCCGCAGTGAAGCATGAATACCCCACTCAGACACATTATACTGACTCCGAGCCGACCAGTCCTTGTTGTACCCATTAATGCCGAGCGCCAGGCAGGGACCAACAAGTACCATATTTTAACGTCTTTTGGTATGACGCGGTCGGGGATCGAACCAGCAACCTTCCGCACTATGGGCGGACGCTCTAACCACAGAGGCGGTCAGTCTAGACCATAGTTTAGTTTCATCATGGCATGATCTCGAGTGGGAGGAAATCCCAAAATGGCAGGATAATATTTGTAGCAAGCTTACTTTCTTTTATAATCTGACAAGTAAGTGACTTGGACAATGGACACTGATGTTCAGGATGAAAAGATCTAGCTTGGCAATTCCAGAGAGCTGAAGGATTAGGTCTCAAAACAAACACAGATCTCTTTAACTCCTTGTAACTATTCACGCTGTCATCCTGTTCCAGATTGAATGAATGTTCATCCACTATTTGGACCTCCAAAATATACAAGTTATTCTATAGTGTTGGAACATATTTGGGCAGTAGGAGTGGGCCTAGAACTTCATGGTAAATGAGGTGATGCTCTTAATGAACTTTTATCCTTCAAGTAATACAGTCATTCTTAGCTTCCTCAACACACTGGCAGGTGTTGGAACATATCTGGCCAGTACAAATGGGCCTTGAAGAACTTCATGAAAACTACTTCCATCCTTCAGTTAATCCAGTCATTCTTACCTTCTTCAACACACTGGTAAGTGTGAGAACACTGCTGGCAGTTGGCAGGAATGGGTCCAGTAGGAACTCATGGAGGTTTGGGTGTGGTACAAGAGCCACTCTGGATATCACAGATGTCAGCACTAGGTTTATGGTGTACGTCTGCAGGGTGAAACAAACTAATGTTTCAGAAGAATCAGTTTTCTGCTAACTGCCAATATTTCTGAATAAACCTTTGCTACAGTCTTGTGGCCATCTGCTTAAAACACTGCTTCAATAGCAGGCAACAGAGGATCGCACAAAAATCATGTTAAATTGGGCTCATTTGACTTCATGAGTCACACACAGCGTCTTTTCATTACATGACTGACAGACCCACATTACTACTAGACTATATAGCTAAGTAAGAGGCAACTAACAGGATTGGGACATCAGGCACATTGACTTGATTGGCATGTGTCATCTTATCCCAATTGCGTAGATCGATGCTCGTCGTCACTGGATTGTCTGGTCCAGAATCGATTTTTTGGTAAACTGTCCCAAAATAGCAGGAATATTGCTGAGTGGAAAACAACAAACAAAGAAATATATCTGACATAAGGAGGAGAATCGTGTATAAACCTGCGACATATGGTAAGGACACAGTACCTGTTTGAGGAGCTTGCTCAGCCTAGTGAGCAGCATGTGGAGGAAGTCACCTTCATAGAAAGCATCCATCTTGTACTGTTCCATCTGAACTGGTTCCGACGGCCACTTCCATGACCTGCTGCCATGCTCCACACAGTTGAACTACAACACACAGAAATTATTTTAAAAACTTAAAGATGGCTCACACAATGACTCTTGCCTTCATCAGAAGTGACTGTAGATCATCACACACTTCAGCACCACTTTCATGCCTCAACTTATGTGTGAGCAGGGAGGTCAGGCACGGCGGCCATCTTGTTTTGAAAGTGAAACTAATCAAAATTCATCACATTTCAGTTTCATAAACTCACACTATATAGAAACCCATGCAGATCCTGGTTAAAATCAGACTTCAGCAAATCATGCTTGTTGTAACAGGCGACTAAATGATCGAGTGGTCAGTCCTAACTGAGTAGACCGATGCTCATGCTGTTGATCACTGGATTGTTTGGTCCAGACTGGATTATAAGCTGGAATATTGCTGTGTGTGGCATTAAACAACAAACAAATAAACACACAGACTGATCTTCACATAACGTAGATCTGAAACAACCATCTAATGGTAACAAAATAGATCCATACAATTAACTTCTTGTCAAAAGAGATGAATAAACTGAATTGGTCACTAGGTTGATTGGTCGCTTTACAGTGACATTGTTCATAATATCAACCACTTGTTTGGATGGCACAGATTATGCCCCAGGGTGAGACAGCATGGATATTGCTGACTGCTTTATCAAACCGATCCCTCCCAATCACTGAAACCATCACACTGTCTGTCACCTGATTTAAAGGAAATGTATATACTGAACCATAAAAGTTATGGATTATGAATATATTGGGGATATTTTTAAGAATTTTTTTATCTTAGTCTGTACAAAAAAATATTTAAAAAAGAATATTCATCACCCATAACTTATTTTGTTCTGTATATGTAGAACAAAATCACAATTCCATCACCAAAACCAAAATTAGAATGCCAAATGATATCCTCGTGACTAACCAAAGATGCTATCTCAGAACAAATGACAATTCTCAAAACGAATTACACAACCGTCACATTACTCACTTTGAGAAACAAGAGTCATCAGAAGATGACATATCTCCCCACATCTTTGAAAGAACAAATCATCTGACAGTTACTCAGAGTCCAGCTTGATTTTAGACTAAGTGCAAATCATTTCCATGGAAATCATGAAAAAACATAAATGACAAAAATCTGCAAATAGCAAAAGGCACCACTTCAAGATCTGCCTCACATATCTACCAAGTTTTACTGAAAGATATTAAGAAGTTTCCGAGTTGTACTCCGGAAACGAAGCCCACCCCTCCCTTTTGGGACTAAGTCCGAATCGTTTCCATGGAAACCGGGAAAAATAAAAATGCCAAAAATCTTCAAATAGCAAAAGGCACCACTTAAGGTTCTGTTTGATACATCTACTAAGTTTTGCTGAAAAATATTGAACGGTTCTTGAGTTATGCTCTGGAAACGAAGACCACCCCTCCCTTTTGGGAATAAGTCCGAATCGTTTCCATGAAAACCGGGAAAAATAAACATGCCAAAATTCTGCCAAATAACAAAAAAGCACCACTGTGGCATCTGCCTCACATACCTGCCAAGTTTTGCTGAAAGATATTGAGAAATTTTCGAGTTGTGCTCCAGAAACGAACCCCACCCCTCTCTTTTGAGACTAAGTCCGAATAGTTTCCATGGAAACCGAGAAAATAATTATCGCCAAAAATCTGCAAATAGCAAATGGCACCACTTAAAGATCTGTTTGATATATCTACCAAGTTTTGTTGAAAAATATTGAACGGTTTTTTGAGTTATGCTCTGGAAACAAAATGATTACGGACGGACGGACAGTACAACAGACGGACGAGGCGTCGACTATATCCCCCCGCATTACATGCCGGGGGGATAAAACAATACAAAACTATTACCAAAAAATTTGACAAATATCTTCAAACATCTCTTTTATTCTTGAAGAAACATTCCCATGTTAAACAACCATCATTTTATACTGAGATGAGGCACAAATAACCAATATGTCAAAGACCAAGCAAAGTGAGTTCCACGTGTCAAACACTGACAAGGTAAGCTGATAATTTCCCTGTTCAAGCCGTCCCTGACAGTCTGCGTCCACTGCATCATCTCACCTGTCTGGTCGCATCTCGGAGATACATGTCGTAACCGCTGTCAGCTGTCTGGTACGAAGACTTAGCCTCCTCCGGCAGCATGGTCAGAAAGCTGGAACCAATGAAAGATGCTGCATTGTGCGTGTGCTATAACAAGGTTATTATCTCTGTCTTATTGTATTACTTTAATCGTATCATATCAACTTCAGCAGCCTCCACAGACACATGTGATGGACACATGGGAAGGACACATATTTTGCTATCTGATTCTTAAGGTGTGCAGAAACCGCTTATTTAATTATAATAAACAAATCCTACATATACCAGATACAGATCCCTGATCCACATGTTGGTCATTAAGCTTATTCAATTAAATTTCAGTTTTCTTCAAGATATTGTACATCTGTTTAAAACATCCAATTCCTATTTCATTCATTAATCACATTTTTAGATTTGTTTCATACCTGTTTACGACCTTGTGCACTTCAGGTCGTACATATGCTGAGTCTGCAATAAAAGTAGAACATTAGTGAACGATCACAGCAATACAGACGAGAAATGAAAACATTCATTTCTAGGTCATGGTTTATTGAGTCGCTCTTTAAGGCTCCTTAAAGACTTAGCCCCGATAGTCTAATTCCTTCCCACGACATCCTTCAAGACTTAACCAAAAGAGCCATTCCTTTTCCCAGCCCTGAAACAAAAAGTCTGAAATCAAGACGCTCAAAATCAAATTTAACAGATTTTCCATTTATTCTCAATTAATGCTGTCAACAAAGACCCACACAGCAAGCCTCAAATCTCATCCTCCCCACCGTGAATACATTTCAATGTAAATTTCATCTGAACCGAGAGTCATCCAGTGTCAATCACAAGTGTCATTTACGACAAACATCCATCCAAATCTTGGTGCTTTGTGCAAATTTCCATCTTTCTTTGTCCAGTATGGCACGAGCACGAAATCATCCTTGTTACTCAAGTTTGCATAAATCATTAAGTTCTCATCATTCCAAAGTTGAACTGATTTCTGCCAAATAATTAGATCTAATTTGATAAGATGCTGAAGAAATATTAGATGAAGTGCTTGCATTTGGACAGGGGCGAAAAAAGTCGGCAAACATAATCATCCCTTAATTTACGTGTTAACCAACTTGTCATTACTGATGGCACGAGAATGAAGGTTTTTCTTAAAAGAAGGCATTTGCACAAAGAATTAAGTCAGCAATGTCAATTATACAGCCTGTTATACCATTTTGGCTTGATGATGACATCACAGCCATTCCCTATTGGCACAGAACAAGCTTTTGGTCATCCCATAACCAAACACAGTTTTAATCTTGTGTTTATTTATTCAAGAATTATAAGAGAACTGAAAGTGGTTCTTGAGAAATTTTGAAAACACTGAACAGATTCCTGCAAAGATTCAAGAATGTTCTCATGTTTATATTTTCCCTTCATCTCTCCGCTACAAAGGGGATGCTGACTTTGTTAGCGCCTAAAGTCCTGTTTATGGAATACTACTTAAACTAATGCTGCCTAAAGAGATCGATCATCTGAAATATCATTGATGGGAAGAATTATTGGCTATCAAAATGAAAATTGTGCCATAGATAATTTTGAACATATACAATTGAGATGAAACAAAATTTTAAGCTATTGTCACAACACATAAAGTTACGTCCTTATTCATGGGCAGCTTCTAGAACATGTTAGGATACTGTTTTTATTAGTAATCCAAAAGTAAAGTCGTCTGTAAAGTTAGGATCGTCTTACCACAAAGTTTGCTTTGTGAAACTGGATCAAGGGTTTTACATTATGCAAAACACTACGTCCTACTGGCGTACACATTGAGAATGTCAGCAAACAAATAAATTGTGATTCCCATTGAAGAAAATAGTATGCCTATTAAGATTATATGCGATTCTGATGAGAAATATTCAGTTCAAGGAGCCATGGTTGATTTTCTTCAATATGCAGAGATGCGAACACTTAAATTTAGCCCAATTAGTATTTTGGCTAAGAACTGATTCAAAAATTTGTATTTTTTTGCCAAAATTAGCATTAACTTTTCCAAAGAATATACAGCTATTCTAATAACTTGCTATTAACATATTTTGTTTTGTTTTTAAATTCGTACATATTCACTGCTATCGTAGTCGCATATTTTGTGTTGTTTTTTTGTAACAAATACAATAAAATCGTATGGGTTGGCATCTCTGCAATATGCCATGAAATCCTCAGGGTGCGAAATAGTTTCCAAATTTGGCAAGCCTGGGTCAGTCTAGCTATGCCTGAATGTTACTAGCCCACACAATACTTCATTAGTCCGAAACTTGAAACGTAGACACTGGTTTCATCATGACATTCCTAATATGATGATCATTTTTATCAGGCCATAATCTTGCACGATTTAAAAGTGACTGTGAAGATTTACTGGGCCGATTGGATTTTTACCAGCCACGGACTAGCAGCCCAGGGGCTATTTTGTACACTGAACTCTGTGAATAGGCCTACAGCTTCTGCCCATGAGCGAAATGCCATAAAAGAGAAAAAAAAAAGATCAAGTGTACCACATGTCAGCCTAGGAACTACATGTCTATTCCCTGTAGCCCTAAAATATATTACTGGAAGTTCCCTTGATTGATGGACCCAGGTAAATCCCTGTTTATGGACAAAAGCAACAGCGCTCATAGAAATTCATGGACACATGAAAATTAGCAGTCATTTCAAGTTACAGACGCTATGGCTTTAGACATCGGTCAATCTTTCTATGAATCACAAGAAATCACTTCTTGTGATTGTCCTGGGTCCAATCAAATTGTTTTTGTACATTTGGGGTTTAAGGGAGGGAGTTTGTGCCAGTTGGACCAGTATCTATATCACAGCACGGCATGGTAGCTTGAATACTGGACCAATGATTGGTGAAAACCCAGGAGCACACTCAGGTATGGCGCTGAAACACCAATAATCAGAATCTGGATGAATCTGGTAACTAAACCCATGGGTGAGTATGTTCACTTTAACATTTGAACAGACTTTTATTTATATCACAAAATAACCATGAAGATTAACATTCACCAGCTTATATTAGGGACATGTTACATCACTACCAACCAACAAGAGCTTTAAGATCAGCCAATGATAAACTGCTTCAAGTTCCTAAAACTAAAACAAAGATGGGTGAAGTGGCTCTATGCTTTGCAGCTCCAACACTTTGGAATGCTCTACCATGGAAATCTGAAATTGTCCAACAAAAGACATCTGAAGACTTATCTCTTTTCTGCTCACTTAAACCAGCGCCACTGAGCAGTCATACTGAATCTGGAAACCAGGCGCTATACAAACCAATTATCATTCCTTCATTCACTGTGATGAAACCTATAGCACAGTGCAAAGGTGAGATTCTAACCAACAATTACTGGATTCTAATTTCTAGCAAACTTAGGGAAACTGCTTTGCTCAACCAAACAGGATTCCACAAAAGGCAGGCAGAAAAAGGCACCATACAAGACATTTTTCATTTAGACAGCTGTATTCCTGAACAGGAAGTAAAAATAGGTCCCTGTATCAAATGAACTTAAAAAATGCTACAGTCATTTTGAAAATTTGCTCTTGAACTTATAAATGTGTTTGTTCATGATAGCCCGAGACTAACAAAATCCAATCATGGTGTTCCTCACTGTGTAGTTGAATTTGAGGGCTTTAATTCTAACCCAGTTCCAAATGCTTGAATTTCAAAATACAAAATGGAACTGAATCGAACTGAGAGAACACTGTAAACATTTTTGTCCAGTTGCAATGATTGTATAATTAGTTGTAGGCTAGCACCATCGCCAGGTAACATGCGCTGGTCTATCAATGTATAAGTCAGTTCTGTAAGTCGTGTTGACTGGTCGTGCCTGTTGGTAGTTCACTGAACAACCGTGTGAACATAACACAGTTTAAGCAGGACGAGCTCTCAGAACCAGTGACATAAATGATAACACAATGCCATTTTAGAAAGTGGTCAAATGTAACACGTTACCCTTGAGATTACACTTTCTTGGTTAAAGTACAAATTTTAGTACTTTTGGGGGGTTGAGTCCCATCCAGGATTCGAAATCTGAGGGTGTCGGTTCGAATCCTGAATGGGACTCAACCCAAAAGAAGTACTAGAATTTGTACCTTAAAAAAGGAAGTGTAATCCCAAATATAACATGTTACAAGAGACATAAAGTTTCCATCAATCCTGACTATTCTGAAAAGATTTATAAATCTGCTTATGCAACAGTTCACACCTTAAGTAATTGATGAGGATGACTTAGATATGCTTCGAAAACACTACCAACGATAAATCATTTTTACTTTTTCAAGCACAAAGTACACAATATAAGTAATGATCACAAGAAAACGCCATCAGTCATTTTCTCCCCTGCCAGTTACATGACAGATATTCTAATGAATGTTAAAGTATAGCCCAATATCATGACGATGATATCAATATATATAAAGTTCAAATATGTACTTTTATCTCCAATACCACACATGACATTTGCTCTGATATCACAGACAATGCCATTACTGAAAGCTTACAACAGCAACATATGCACTGAGGTTTACCTTAGGCTTAATCTGTCATCTGAAACTGGCTGCACGAGAAAATACTAAAATTACAATTTTGCCATTCAGTATCAGATGACAAAACTGTTTTTGACCTTTTTCATTCTATTTTTATAGTTTTTTCTTCTGAAAGATGCTGAGTGTTCTGAATTGTACACTTTTAGATGCTGATGAATCTTGTCACATGTTGAGGGAATGTCAGCATACATACAACTGACTGACTGACTGACTGAGTTTGGTTTTACGCCGCTTTTAGCAATATTCCAGCAACATCACGGCGGGGGACACCAGAAATACACATTGTACCCATGTGGGGATTGAACCTTCTCCTGATCAATGAGCTTTAACCATTAGGCTACCCATCTACATACAAAGGTCACAAAGTTCAGTAAACATACACGACAAAACCTTCTCCTGATCAATGAGACATCTCTGCTAAAAGCAGAGTCGATTGTGCAATTGTGTCTATATCATGATTCGGTTAGAATACTGATCTTCAGTAACCAATGCTTGTCAACAGTCTAAGTCAAACTTGTTGCCATGGAAATGCCAAAAATATTTTATTCAGAATTCCAAAACTACCAAAAGGCACCAGTACACCACCAGATCTATGTATGTGCCAAGTATGGTGAAGAAAAAGTGAACGGTTTTAGAGTTCTGCTCCGGAAAAGAGCACTACCACTAATTTCAGTCTAAGTCAAACATGTTGCCACGGAAACGCGAGAAAACTTTTAATTTAGAATTCCAAAACTACCAAAAGGCACCAGTACACCACCAGATCTATGTATGTGCAAAGTTTGGTGAAGAAATAGTGAACGGTTTTAGAGTTCTGCTCCTGAAAAGAGCACTACCACTAATTTCAGTCTAAGTCAAACTTGTTGCCACGGAAACGCCAAAAAACTTTTATT